GGGTAGTTGCATGTCGGAGCCGAGGAGATATTTTTTACGGAATCGAGCGACAGAAAAGGCAGATAGCAGACAAACCAGCGAAGGTGATTCGTCGTTCGAAAGTACAACGATGGAAGGACAAGGAGCGCCCAGCGAAGAAAATGTGAACGCCATTATTGCCACGCTGAACGCATTACGGTTACGCGAGGGTATGCAGCCACAAAGTGTAAGTGGGAGTAGTGTGCAGCCAGCACAAGACGAACAACGCCAGGCTGTCGTGGAGGATACCGTTTCGCACATAAAGTTGTACGACTTGCCTACGTTTGGCGGTAATATTGAAGAATGGCCATTGTTCTACGCAAATTTCAACGACACGACACGGGCGTTTCGTTACAGCCACCGGCAAAATTTAATGCGATTGCAAAAATGTCTGGTTGGCCCGGCAAAAGAGGCAGTGGCGGCCATGTTAATTTTTCCGAATGATGTGCCGAACGTGATGCGTGAGCTTGAGTTTCGGTTTGGTCGGCCCGACATTTTGGTTAAAGGGCAAATAAGCCAATTGCAGCAGTTCCCGCCAATACCTGAAAGCAAAGTCGAAAGGATTATACCGTTTTCGTCAAAAGTCCGTAATGTGGTGGCGTTTCTGAAGTCCGCGAATTGTCAACAACATTTGTCAAACGTGACGTTGCTTGAGGAAATGATTATCAAACTGCCGCAAACCAGACAATTCGATAGGGCGAAGCACGCTGCGACCATCTCGCCTTATCCAACAATCGAACATTTTTCGGAGTGGCTCAGCGACTTGGCAAGGATAATTTGTCTAATGCCGACAACAAGCACACAAAGCAGCAAACAAAATGCTGTGCCGAACAATCCGCGTCGCCTTATGCATATCAACCGAGCGAAAGACACTTTAAAGTGTTACCACTGCAGTGGAAGCCATATGATAGCACAGTGTGAGTCGTTCAAGTCGATAGGCGTTCAGGACCGGTGGGAACTAGTCAAAACACAGCAATTATGTTTTTCATGTTTGCGCAAGGGCCACTGCACGCAGAATTGTCGGTCAAGGCGAAGGTGCGAGGTGAATGGATGCCAACGATACCACAACCAGCTACTGCTCAATGAGGAAGCAGCTGACCAAACGCCACGTCGAGTCACGCAATCGGATGCCGCTGTGCAGCCACTGTTAAATTGTCGGGTAACACAAATTTCGCAAGGTTTGCTATTTAAAATGTTACCGGTTAATATTTACGGCCCGGACGGCAAGCAGGAAGTCCTCGCCATGTTTGACGAAGGTTCGTCAGTGTCGATAATGGAGGCCGGCGTAGCAAATATGATCGGTGCTAAAGGCGATGTACATCCACTCACGCTGCAGTGGTATGACGATAAAATGGTAACCGAGCAAGCCAGTAAGGTTGCCGTTGAAATCGAGAACTGCACTAACAAGAATAGATTTGCGCTTAAAGATGTGTACACGGTAAAAAACTTGAATTTACCCGAACAGTCACTAAGAAAAGAAAATTTCGATCATCTTAAAGATCTGCCCATTTTGAACTATTATCGTGCAAAACCAGTGTTGCTGATTGGGTTAAAACACGCACATCTCGGCGCCACCACAGCGATTGTGCAAGCCCAGCAGCGATAGTCCCTTGGCTGCGAAAACTCCACTTGGCTGGGTGGCATATGGTCCAACGAAGTTGCCATCACCATTGAACCCCCGTGTTCTGCTCGTGCGAGAATTGCAGCAACTGAACGATTTAATAAAAGAATATTTCACAGCAGATAGTTTTGGCGTCAATCCGTCGCCGCAGAAGTTAGAGTCAGACGAAGGGAAGCGCGCACGTTCAACTTTACAACAAACGACCAGAAAAGTGGGACACCAGTACGAAGTCGGGTTGCTGTGGAAAGAGTATCCGCCGAAATTGCCAAGCAGTCGAGCCATGGCGGAAAAGCGCTTGTGGACAGTGGAGAAACGAATGAGAGGCGACGTCGAGTTTCGTACGCGGTACAGAGAGGAAATGTCCAAGTATTTTGAAAGAGGGTACGCCAGAAAGCTGAACGAAGCCGAAGTCAGCGCGCCGGACTTAAACGTGTGGTACTTGCCCCACTTCGCCGTCTTCAACCCCCATAAGCCGGAAAAAATACGAATTGTTTTTGATGCCTCAGCCAGCGTAGCAAATGTGTCTCTCAACTCGGCTCTTCTGAAAGGTCCAGAACAAGCACAATCGCTGATAAGAATTTTATTGCAATTTCGCCAGGGGCGCATTGGAGTATCAGCCGACATTCGTGAAATCTTTTCACAAATAAAGATACGCCAAAATGATCAACCGCCCATCGCTTTTTATGGCGCGACGGAGACCAAAGTCGACCCATCGAAGAGTACGCGATGACATCATTAATATTCGGTGCTGTATGCTCACCATGCATAGCCGAATACATAAAGAATAAAAACGCCAAAGAATTTAGAGCACAGTTTCCGGAAGCCGTATCCACGATTATCAACAAACACTATGCTGACGATTTAGTTGTCAGCTTTAACGAGCCCGAAGAAGCCGTAAGAATCTGCCAAGAGATAGTTAAAATAAATCGACATGCGGGATTCGAGCTGCGAAATTGTATCTCCAACTGTCGTGAGGTAGAAGAAACAATGAACCAACAATCAACGTCGCCAGCAAGAGAAGCAGTCAGCATGGAACGAAACGGAATAGCAGACAAAGTGCTCGGCCTGTACTGGAACACGAAAGAAGATACGTTCGGATTCCACACACAGTTTCATCGCGTGCCTCAAGAAGTACTAAACAGAGCGCGTGCACCAACCAAGCGGGAATTACTGCGCATCGTTATGGCGGTGTTTGATTCGTTTGGTATGTTGTCTAACTTCTTAATTATTACTAAACTTCTAATTCAAGAGACAATTCAAGAGACCTGGAAGAGCGAAATAGAATGGGATGACATTCTTCCGAAGGAGCTGGGCAGGAAATGGTCACAATGGTGGCAAGAGTTTGACAGCGTGAGGCAATTCACGATTCCACGATGTTACTCGCCATACGTCGCAAGCATCGGTAAAGTCGAGGTGCACATGTTTGTCGACGCAAGTCAAGTTACGTTTGCTGCGGTGGGTTACTTACGAGTTCTCCACGAAGAAAACGTTGACGTCAGCTTCGTAATGGGAAAATCCCGTACCGCTCCGACGAAGCTCATGTCGATCCCGCGCCTAGAACTGCAGTCAGCTGTCCGTTCAAATTAATCCAAGAATCCCACGAGTTCACCATCGAGCGGGCGGTATTCTGGAGCGATTCGCAAACCGTTTTGCCGTGGATACATTCATCGCAGAGGAAATACAAGGCGTTTGTCGGCCATCGCATATCCGAAATACTTACCTCCACTGCCCCGGAACAATGGCGATGGGTGCCAACTGGGGAAAATGCTGCAGACGCTGCAACGCGCCCATCATGTCCACCGAAATTCGACACCAATAACCGTTGGTTAAAGGGTCCCGACTTCTTAAAGTACCACGAGCAGTATTGGCCTTCCCTAACACTACAACCGGAATGCGTCCTTCCAGAAGAAATTAAGACCGAAGCGATACTACTGGTGCAGCCACGCAACTCGGTCATAGACTTCTCAAGATTTGGTTCGTTTCTGAAGCTGCGACGTACTACAGCTTGGGTGATGCGTGCAGTGAACCTGTTCCGCAAGCAGCCAAGAAGCGAAGTTAATTCATCAACGAGCCTGAACGTGACAGAAATCGAAGCTGCCGAAAACATGATTTGCAAATTAGTCCAGCTGGAGTGCTACGCGAATGAGATATCCGACTTGGCAGCGGCGCGCAAACTTAGTAAGCGAAGCTCTCTATGCAAGCTGTCACCGTATGTTGATGAAATTGGTGTACTACGACTGAGCGGCCGCATCGATGAGGCGGCATACCTACCATACCAAGGGCGACGACCGATTTTGCTACCACCAGAACACGGAGTGTCAGCCTTAGTTGTCAAAGAAGTCCATGACAGGAACCACCATCAGAATCTCGCAGTAACTATCAACGCCATCAGACAAAGGTACAGGATTCCCAATTTGAAGGCGTTACTTATGCGAGTACGCCAAAAGTGCCCCATATGCACGGTTGACAGAGCAAAACCACAGCCACCGATGATGGGTCAACTACCGATTGACCGTGTGGCCCCGTACGTGCGCCCTTTCACATACACTGGCGTCGATTTATTTGGTCCGTTTCACGTAGCGATTGGCAGGCGTCGAGAAAAGAGGTGGGGCGTCATATTTACGTGTTTGACTGTCCGAGCTGCGCACCTCAAGCGACGCGTTCATCCTGTGCCTTCGCAATTTTATAAATCGCCGCGGCACACCTGTGAGGATAAGGAGCGATAACGGGACCAACTTCATCGGTGCACAGAAAGAGCTGAAAGCATCGGAGCAGCTGTTTGACACAGATCACATACAGTCAGAAGCAGCAAAACACAATATCGAGTGGGTGTTCAATTGCCCTCTGAACCCTAGCTCGGGTGGCTGCTGGGAGCGCCTAATAAGAGTCGTCAAAGCACTCTTAAATAAAACTTTGAAAGAGGTGGGGCCAAGGATAAGCACGTTGCAAAGCGTGCTAATAGAAGCGGATAACATTATTAATTCTCGCCCTTTAACCGATTTACCCGTGTCACATGAAGAGGACGAGCCGCTTACGCCGAACCACTTCCTGCTCGGCTGCGTAAATTCCACGCAGACACCACACCCTGTTAATGAGCAAATTTGCCTGCGCAAACAATGGAGAATAGCACAAAATCTAAAGGACCGTATATGGAAGCGCTGGACTACGGAGTACCTGCCCCAACTTTTGCGTCGTACAAAGTGGCAAGATAAAGCTACGCCACTGAAAGTGAATGACCTGGTGATAGTATGTGATGCAACGCTATTCCGCAGGCAATGGCAACGAGGCCGTATCACTCAGGTTTTCCCAGCTAAAGACGGGCAAGTGCAAGTCGTAGAGGTGAAAACGGCCGGTGGACTCCTACGTAGGCCCGCATCCCGACTAGCCAGACTAGAAGTTGATGGTGAATGCCAGGAGGATTCACGGGGGGTGGGATGTTAGGCACCCTGTAATATATTTTTGTAGGTGGCAACGCTACCGCC